TCGTTGCAAGTAGTGTGAGAGAAAGAGAGAGCGTGAGAGAGAGAGAGAGAGGGAGAGAGAGGGAGAGAGAGTGGGGGGCCAGAGCACAAGCAGAAACTCCACAGTTCTCTAGTCAGGTCTAACGGACTCTCCAAACTTGCTCCTAGGCTAATTTGCAGGACGCTATCAGTGGATCAGTAAATGCTGGGTTGTACGCGCGTTTAGAAGCTTACCTCCGAATGGGGTTTCCACATATAGCTTGTTGGCAGCTGTTGTCTTGGAAGTTGGCTCGGGTCGTGCTTACGGAACATAGTCTGCCCTCCGTATGGCACTCTGCCAAACGCCTGAGCAAGGGAAACGAAGAAAAATCACTTGGCGAAGGATGCCCACGATCCGCTGCGCGCGAAAAAGATTGGACCTTTTAGGGCTTTCAGCTGAGCGACATCCTTCAAAGACGTTCGCCATCATTATCCAGCCCAAACCCTGCGCTCAGTGTTAGCCATCGTTGTAGAAAACGTTTTTTTTTCATGACGTCAGACGTACGCCGCGAGACACTATCGAGCCATCCTGGCCGGTTTTGAAGACGCGCGGTCTGTGATTGCCATTTACCTGGTAACACTATTTTGCAATCTGTGTATGTTCTATATGGTTGATAACGCCAATTTTGCTTTCTGGAACACGATTTTGTTCCTGGTCCGTGACATTGAATTCATTCATGGTTTAATGGCACTAGCGCTGTCGCGGCGATGGTTCATGCAACGGTACATAGCCACCTAAATTTATTTAACCTGAGGTCACTACTAAAGACTAAAATACCGCCACCGATGGTACTTTCACAATGGATTGTGTGTTGGCTGAGCTAGGCAGCACATTCAACTAGCAACGAAATCTACGATACGAAATAAAATTCGATAAAAGTCCCACGTCATATGTGAATTTACGTAATAAAGTCACATGAAATTCTAGCAAAGCGTGAGAAGATGGCTCTATATTTCCCGGCACTGCATACTCATATCGTTGCAGGTTTATGAACAGGCAACACAACGACGCAGTCAACTCCCGTGGCAAGGTGCGCCAGATTGGCTACAGCAAACGTTTGGCCAGTCTTCTGCAATCGCTTAGGCCATTATTATGGTAGAGATACCATACGTGACGTGTTTCTTTAATTCTTAAATCTTTCTGGAGGTTCAAAGATCTTTTGTAATGCTTCGATAGTTTCACCATAGTTAGGCTGTGTTACAGCCGCCGTTCTGCAACAACGAAAAAATGCTTCCGTCCGGCAATTCACCCCATCTACCAGGATTGACTGTCCGACATGTACTGAATTTGCCGACAGTGTTATGAGTTCTTAATGTTTTAAAAAACCAAATGAGGATGCACGCATTTTGATCATGGACTTGCTGCCCATGGTATTTTAAGTCAATTCGATGCCGACGCCAGCAAGCGTGAGCTTTGTCACGCAATTAGTTCACCCGAACCCGGTCTGTTTGGAATGGTATTGGGCATATCCGGCGCGATCTAAAGGCAGGCGCAATCAAGCGCCAATCTTGATAACATTTGTGTAATATGCGTCCATCATATCCCATCCCCAGGTGAATGGTGCTTGCTGTTTTTACAGATAGCACTGAGTTCACAATCAGTCGCATGCTTAACTACCACCAGGAACTTATCGTTGGCGGTAACTCATGAATGACTGAAGTGAGTGGCTTTTGCGGGTGCTGGCTCTGCACTGGGCTCGTTTATCACAATGCATTCGATTCTGATATATATATATATATATATATATATATATATATATATATATATATATATATCAGTGCGTTCCAGCAAATCCCTCAAGCACTTTTGTGTTGCCTTGAGCTCCGCTGCCCGCCCTATGATGAAGAAAACATAATGGGCCATTATGTTCTATCAAATCGTGGATCTACATCGTCGATTGATACAGCCACGTAAGCTTACAGCTGTTTTCCTGGCGGAGTGCTGACCAAGACACTGCATCGGAGTTCCAGGCATCTCCCGTCTGTGATGTTCAAGATGTCTGGTCCGGTGCTGCCCGCCGCGGTGTTCTGCGGCGGTGACGCGTCATCGTCCGCCGACGGGTAGCCGGCCGCCTCTCATCGGCGCGCCAGCTGCAAGCCAAGAGCCTGCGCCTCCCATCGGTGTCGACACGAGACACCTCGCCTGACGCCTTGCCGACACCCCGACCACTTTCCCGCAGCGCTTATTTCATGATGGGTCTGCTTTTAGTGGGGCACGTCTCTTAGCGTTAGGTCAGTGGGACGGCGCACGGCTAAGCCAGCGAGCGGCCGCCGGACGCGGTCTGGGGCGATGCCAGGGCGTGGTCGCTACTGCGAGCCCCAACTAATCACAGTGTGCTTGATCGTTTGACACCCTGCTGACATGGGTCACTGGACACGGGTGCTTCGTGTTTGCTGTTATGAGCGCTGTTGATGTTAGCGTGTGTTTGGACATAGGCCGTAGCTGAAACTTCTGTAAGGCTGCAAATAGAGTGGAAAACAGCTGTCTCGTCTGATCCATGGGCTACTGAAGTCGCGGTTTGTATGCATCATCCAAGGTACACGGCTTATTCTTGTTCAGCTGACCACATCGTGTATTTGTTGACCACAAGGAGGTGCCAGCTGAAACCAGCGGCAGCGTTAGGACCACCTGACAGCAAAAACAGCAGATGGCATCCCGAGCTGAGCTTTTAGCGTTTTCATGTGCTTATGCATGCTCAGACGTGCTTCTGAGTTCTTCAAACGCTGGCAAAAACTCCACTGCTGCCAAATTGGTCACCTACGGCAACCAAATATATGTTGCCGGCATTAGCCGGGCACTGCTTAACTGCCTTTGTAGTGTCCTCTCAGAGTTTTCCGCTGAGCTGAATTTAATAGCCAACTGCCGTTCATCCGGCTAAATTGTGGTGAGAGGAGATTGCGGAATTGAAATTGATGAAAACCAAGCAAGGAAAGTAACAATTCCGACCCAGCTCGACGCAGAACACTTTCATCAGCTTAGAATATACGTAAGTTAAGTGCATTTGCCAGAAACATCATGCATATAGATGAGACAGTGCGAACAGCATAATTCTTCGTATAATAGCTAGGAGAATGGAGAGATAGATGATTGATATTTTCTCTACATGCCTTTACCGAAACGAGTATCAGTAGTGACATACGTTTCGATGAAGGCATGTACCCGAAATGTCAATCCATCCATCTTTCCATTCTCCTGGTTTTTGTATGAGGATTAAGACAATAAATACTGTCATAACATAAAATGTTTTCAAATAACTTTTGAACCATACATCAGCAGATGCTCAAACAATAGATCCCAACGTTTCGGACATCGCTATAGGTGGTGCCAACCTGGAATGATGCGTCCGTCAATCGGATCTAGCTGAGTCCAATCCTCAACCCCTGTTGGCAAGATATGAATTAGTCACACATACACCACCTATACCACCAATGTCAGCCCTACTAGCAGCTTACACGGGCTTGACATTGCACTGCAACTGCGATCTATGCACCAATATATGACCTGTGGTCTTAGTACATGTACGATAATTGTGTAATTTTGTAAAAGTCTGACAATGACTCCGTGTGCCCACTCGCACCGTTTGAACGCATGGGGACCAGCGCAGAGCGTACAAAGTTAATCATGGCCCTAGCACCTGGGCCAGCTTCTAATTTAGATAGCTAAACAGCCACGACTTGCAATTACTGACAGAATTTCAGCATCAATTCCAATACCATCGACCAATATATATTGTTTCAAGTTGGTCACTACAGACCTAGGTGCCGCTGTAATGTTCCCGGCACCACTCTCAAAACAGAATTGGTATGTGCCAGATTAACAGTTCATTTTTGTAAGCAAATTTACATCAACTTTGTTATGCACGAAGGAGTTACATCGCTTGGCCAGAAACTTACGAGTAAATAAGCCGATGCGTTAGGGGCACATCTAATTGCTTACAAACCTCCACAAGTATTGTCCATAAATATCGTACGGAAATATGACGCGACCGAAACTATTGCTTCGGTTCGCCAAATACCTCCGCAGCACCTCTGCGCTGTCATGACTATAACTTAACATCGCCCAGCTGCCACTGATGAATGCAGGAGCACGCGTCGGGCTCCGCCCATCACTCCTTTACAAGTCGAGACCGGTCCCATTTAGCCAGCCGCTTCCAGCGCCGTGGGGAGCATAGTTGAGCATTCTCGATGCGGTCGCTCTCGGGGCCCGTTCTGTCGATTTGCCCCGTCTGATTCGGCCATGATCACACCTGTAATTGCCTCCCAGGCAGACGGGTGGGCAGTCTTGACCGGACCGGCGCTCGTATAACATAGGAGGCTCGGCCAAGTGGGCCATCAGCGGGCTCCGCCGGTGCGCTAAATCGGACCGGCCGGGCTCGATGACCGGCTCAGCTTCTCTGGAGGCCATCAGGCTACGGCCGGGCGTGGCGCTCCTGGCCGGCTTCGGCTGGATGTCCGTCGCGGCTCGACAGTCGACTGAGGCCGGAGCTGCTGAAGCGTAGAATAGCGCCAGTCAAGAGAGACTGATCTCGTAACGCGTCGTCGCTCCCCGGCCAGGCTGCGAGCTGGCGTTGGCGCTCAATCCAACTAATGAGCGTCTCTGTGACCAGGTCCAGACGGATGACGAATGTGCATGCGCAGGCTTCCTGACCGCTAGCAGCGAATTCCGGCTGGCAATCCATCATCCGGACAGGGCTTCTCGGCAATATCTGTCAGAATAATGGCGACTTGTATTTTTCGGTTATTGAGAGCTTAATCTCTTAACTGGGGCGAGTAATGCATTTCAGACAGCTGGCGATACAGGGACATGTTGGGAGAGCGCGAGACGCTCTCTGAAATGCGGCAATGGTCATTGATTGAAGGCAAACTGACGGGATCAGGTCGACTTGTTGGTGTAAAGCAGCTTGCAGAGATTTTGGTGAGTTTTCAGCTTGTTCTAAAAACCCGATCGAGACCAGGTAATTAAAACTAACGCAAGTATGCATAGAAATATATTAGAAATCCCTCCTCTCCCGCTCCACCCACACGCCATTTTGCCGTCAGCTCTCCCCATCGTTGAAGGGAAATTGGTTAGATCCGCTTTGAAATTGGACGTTGCGTGAAAAAGAGAAAAAAATTCGATTATTTCATTGGGTTTCATTGCCTTTGATCTTGCCAAGCCACGCCGGGGGCCTGAGTTCGGTACTGAGCTTGAGTCTTTCCAGAACTTCAGGCTTGAAGCCACCCCCTCAGTGACGTTTTCCATCGAAAACAATTCATCTTGTATCATGTAATGACGTTTGGGTTGGCCTCATCAAAGACTCTGCATCAGACGTTCAAATGTATAGCCGACTTCAAACGCAAATACTGCATTTACGTATGGTGGTGTGTCTAGCTCATCTCACTGGACTGAGACCTAGGCTTATTAGATGCAAAAATCAAAGCAGTCTTGTATTATTTTGGTCACCATGACCTTTGAAAGGTCAAACAAGGTAGCTCATCTTAAGTGAGCTCCAGTGAACCTTTCCTTACAGCAGGTATGCAGGTTCATGGTGGAGCTATGAAAATGTCCGGGGCACTCTAGACACAATCTGGAGTTTGAATCTGTTTGACCTTACTTAACCCGAAAGTCATGACCTAGGAACCTTAAATTTTGATGTAAATGAGTTAACGTACAGGTCAAAGCAACCCATGAATTTTCTGTCTCTACCTCTCTTTGTTTCTGAGATCTCAGGGAATTCAAATTGACCTCCGCCTGGCCGAATGGAATTCAACCGCCACCCTGGCGCGCGTTGGAAATCGTTAGTTTTAAGCTATTTTCGCTCACAGAGACCCGGTATAGAGTCATACATGCTGGATCTTATATGCTGAATACATTCTTGATAGTACCACTCAGTGGATCCATCTTGCTTAACTTTTTACCCGCCGGATTGCATATCAAAGAAACAGTGTTCTGCACGTCACGTCCCTTGACTAATTTCCTTATACTAGGCTTAGTTTTTTGCTTCCTTTACGGTGTGTCTACTTTGCCCTCTGCATTCCAGCTAACTGTGCATGGGATGTTTGCGTTTCACCATTAAAAATGGCGTGATCTAAGGCCAGTGGCGTCAGTAATGCCTATGCCATTTTATGATTAGTTGCACAGCTTCTGTAAGAATACTTTCTCCAAGCTCTCGAACCTGCCAAGGCGAGCAAAGCTTCCACAAGATTTCTGATGCTACCGACATGTCGAACGGCTGCCCCAAGCTCCAAAGCAATTCACGTGTGAAATTTGCGCGGGCAATTCCAGCCGAATGCGTCAACGCATCCATTGTAATTCGAATATAGTTTATGCCATTCGACAAAAACTAAATGCTTCCTACACTAGCTCGGGCGTATTAAATCATGATAATGAAGTCCAGGTTGATATGAAATGGCTAGTGGCTTCGTGAGCACAGGAACCACATCTTACGAAGACGTCCGAGGCGACAATGCGTTGCAATTCGTTTAAATGTAATCAGTTTTGTAACTCGTACTTGTTGGCGTTTTCTACGTTTCAGTCAAGTAATCCATGGACTTATCCAGTTTGTGAATGAGTTTTCCGATCCTCATGATGCTTTTGTTCAGCTTTTCACATAAACACAGAGAATGCACCATACCGTGTGACCTAGACCACATACCGAGAAAACATGACAACCCGATGTGTCCGTCATTACCTTGAACCAAGAACAGGCTCAGAAATTGTCACTGGTTCATTTAAAACACCACATCTGTTGGTTTTCTGTACCTACGACAAAAGATCACTGAAGGTTTGATTCATTCAGAAGCCTGGCTCCAGAAGATAAGTGTCATCATTGTTTGATGTTCAAAAGAAGCAGTTGTTCGGAACACGCCAGCAGGTTTAATTGAAGCCAAGTCCCCAAACAGCTGTATGCGCTGTTAGAACAAACTATAAATGTCACTCACATTGATTCGGCACATGACAAGGGTTTCTCAAGCGTGCAAAACATCACGAAAAGAAGAGAACGGGGCTAACGCCGGCAGCATAGCATCTTAGCCTAGCACGTTTTCGGAAAAGTCAGTGTGCTTAGGGCTAATCTGGTTCTCTGGTGGAAGGCGAGCTCAGTGGCATCATTTATGTTGAGCCGCATTGCATTAACACACAATAAATAACTATGCTCAGCGCATGGTGAAACGGATACCCGAGACAAATAAGCTGAACGCGAGCCAAGATAACTCATCTTCGACATCCCACAATACTCGCTCCCAGTTCGCAATGGGTGAAGCATCACAAAAGTCACTCGCCACCGCCATAGACGACAGCGTCAAAGCCACTGCCGTTTTTCCATTATCGCTGACGTCACCCCGACCGTACAGAATGCGACCGTCTCGGCCATCAGAGAAGCATTGCTGTTAACGTTGCCCTGATCGTGAGCTGTCTACCGTCCGGTAATGCAGCAGGTTCAAAAGAAGGTACGGCTTCAGACTATCCGAAGGGTCGTAAGCGGACGCTGGTATAGACAGCCAT